TCTGAGGTTCAAGATGTTGTTCTATACTACCTTTAGAACTGTGCTGTCCAATATGGTAGCCACTATTTCAAAATTAAGATATGCCTAGGGTAAGAAACTAAATTTTTAATTTATTTAATGTTAAGAAATTTAAATTTAAAAACTGAAATGGCATAAAATGTTTTTAATTAAATGTATTAAACACAACTTTTTGCTTTTGATAGAATTACATTTCACTTTAACCTGGCTTACTATGAGTTTTTATCATGAATAATGATAATAATCAAATGCTTTTTCTATGTCTAATGAAATAATCATATATATTTTTTTACTTTAATCAGTAATGTGCTAAATTGCTTTGATTGCATTTTTATACAGATTTTAAAATGTTAAACCGTTATTGAATTCCTGGGGTAAACTCAACTTGGTCATAACATATTATCTTTTCATGTATCATTGTATTTGATTTGTTAACTGTTTTTAGGAGCTTTGCACCTATGTTCATGAGAGATTTGGTCTGAAAGTTTTCCTTCTTGCAATATCCTTGTCAAGTTTTGTTATCAAACTTATGCTTGCCTCGTAACACAAGTTGGGAAGTGTTCCATCTTTATTCTCTGAAAAAGGTTTGTTTGTTTGTTTGTTTGTTTGTTTGCCTGCCTTAACATTGGTGTTATTTCTTTTTTAAACAGTTGGACACAAGTAAAGTCTTATAGCCTACATTTTCTTTGTAGAATGGTTTGTAATTATGGATTCAATTTCTTTGATAGATGTAGAAGTATTCAGATTTTCTATTTCTTCTTCTGTCAGTTTTTATGGTAAATTGTGTTTTTCAATAGATTTCTCCATTTTATCTAAATCTTCAAATTGTCATAAAATAGTTTACATAACAGTTTTCTTTAATACTCTGCAGGACTTTATTATTTCCAATATTGGTAATTTTTGTTTTCTATCTCTTTTTCTCGGTCGTTCTTCTTAGAAGGTTATCAATTTTATTATTTCTTTGAAAAACCAAATTTTCGCTTTGTTAATTTTCTATTTTATTTCTGCTTTGTCTTATTGTCTTTCATTATTTCTTCTTGATTATCTCTTTTCCTTTTAGTTTCTTTAAGTTCACTTGGTGGTTATTTTTCCAGCTTCTTGAAATAGATCTTAGAGCATTGATTCTCAACTTTTCTATAAGGTTTTTAGCAATTTTATTTTCATGAGCTTTGCTATAATTTTTCTTTGTGTTTGTAGTTTGTATCCTGCTTATAGTTTATTAAGCGTCTCGGAACTGTGGATTTATGATTTTCATTAAACTTGCACGATTTTTAGCAATGTTATATCAACTACTTTTTTCTGTTCCTATCTCCCCCTGTCTCCTCTGGCACTCCACATGTATTTTATTTAGACCACTTGATACTGTCACACAGTCACTAAGATTCTGTTTATTTTTGAGTCTTTTTACTCTGTTCTTCATTTTGGATAATTTCTATTGCTATTATTTAATTTCACCGAATGTTTTTGATTTACTGTTAAGCTGATTCAGTGAAATTTGTATTTCAGATTTGTATTTTTTATCTGTATAGGCTCCATTCGGTTCTTTTAAAATACTTCTCTTATTCTTTTCATGTTTTCTTTTACATTCTTGAGCACATTTATAACAGCTACTTTGAAAGCCTTGTCTGCTAATTCTATCATCTCTGTCATTTCTGAGTCTGCTTTTATTAATTGATTTTTCTCTTGATTATCAGACTCATTGTCTTTTTTTTGCATATCTAGCAATTGTTTACTGGCTGCTAGATTTTGTGACTGTTGCATTACATAGAGTGTCTAGGTTTTGTTTCTTCACTTAGAGAATATTAAGTAGACAATAAATGTATGGAAAGGCATTAAAGTACTTGCAGACCGGTTAATTTCTTTCAAGGCTTGTTTTTCAGCTTATTCAGGTGAGTCTATAATAACCTTTACTCTAGGGCTCATTTATCCTATTGCTAAAGTGAGACTCTTCTATGGTCTCTACTAATGTACGCCAATGTCTATTCTACCCTGGTTGGGTAAAACTTGAACACTTCCCACTGCTGCAAAAGCTTTGGAGATAATTTAGCCTATCACTCCCCAGCAGTTATTTGCCCAACCTCATGCAGTTTCTCTCTATGCATCTATAGTTTACTGTTAAGCAATAGACTCAAGAGAACCTCTGTGTTCATTTCTGAAGTTCTTTTTCTGCATAGCTCCCTCCCCTCCAGTACCCTCCCTCACACATTCCAACTGCCCCAGCCCACTCAAACTCTGATCTGTTACTCAACCCAATGAGTCAGCTCATGTTCTGTTAAGGTTCTTCCTACCTGCACTGTGGTCTGGAACATAGTGCCTCTAGGCAGAGGAAGCTATTGTGATTGTACGGCTTACTTCATTTGTTTCTGTTCTTGCCTTTATCACAATTCTGCCCTGCCCATTGTCCAATGCCTGGAAACAGCTGCTTCATATATTTCGTCCTGACTTCTAGGGCTTTGTGGTGGGAAATCAATCTCAGAATCAGTCACTTCATTATAGCCAGAGTGAAACAATGCTGCCAAGTTTTTTAAACTTTGCAAATGAAAAGTAAACTTCTAGAATAGATGGTTCTATGAAGGAAAAGGGTAAAGGGGAAGAGATTCAGAGGCACATATATAACTTTACATAACTTTGCCATAAGTTTAAGAGGTGCATTATATTTGGGAACATTTTCTCCTTGTTGTCAAAATGGAAATATTAAATTTGTTTTTGAGAGTTAGAAAAAGTCTCAACCTTAGGTTATTATACTTCTTCCATTAAATGAAGGTTCATCAGGCAGTTTAACTAATATTGCAGTATTGTTAATTTGGATCAATAACAATGATGAAGCAGTGGCTGTTTCTAATGCCGATAACAACATTCATTTAAGCACCTCCAAGGAACCAGGCACTGTGTTAGACTCTTTACATTGATTGTCTTTAATCTTGTATAGCAAATCTGCATGTTAGAAATTATGATCCCCAGAAACTCAGGGAGGTAAAAGTTAGTTCCTCAAACTCACACACTCTGAATAAATTACCCAGTGGTAATTTATTGGCTGCAACTGAGAAACAATCTCAGCTCACCACTAACAATGCCTCCTCCATTATTATGCTGTTCCCTGATTCTATCTTCACCTGAGCTTTCCCATCTGGCAAATTAAAGTGGAAAACAGTTAACTCCCTCCCTAGAGAGGCTGTGTTATTAGATGTTTTGCATTATTTTGCTTTGAATAACAGCATATGTAAATGTGCTTCTGGAGGTTAAACTTATTTTTATTTTTTAAAACTTGGCCTCTCCTTCTGAGGTAAATAGTTGAAAATTATGGAGAGGAAAAGGCAGACTGGAGAGAATGCTTCTCTGCCTTCCTTCTCACCCGACACATATTTCTGTTCAGATTTAAGCTGCCATAGCAGAGTAAAGATTAGTAAATTTCCTATCACGGAGTTTTAGCTGGTTCTGATAGTCAATGTCCAGAGTGTGTTAATCCAGATATTAATCATTAACTCTGCATCAGGTATAGGGGCATATATTCTTGCTGAGAAGAATAAAAGCCTCCTAAGGTACCTGGAAGACTTTATCACACATGGTCTCCAGCCAGATCACAAAGAGATTCTAGTGAGCACGGGCACTTTGCTGCCTCTAACCATCTACCTCTTGTTTGGAAGTTGGCATATCCCCTCGACCTCAGCTCTCCCACAGACCCTGCATTGTCGAGCCCTCCCTATCTTAAACCGCCTTTCCTGGCATTTGGATCATCACTTCGATGATGTGATAATATCTGCAAGTTGGGAAAATAAAAGTGGCATTTGTTTAGCCATAATTAATGAAATATTTATGTTGCATGAGACTATGTGATAAAACCTTAGGCTTAGAGTCCTTTTGCTTCTGATTACATTTGGGATTTTTTTTTTTTTTCTATGACCAGACATTCTGACGCCAGCTCTTTTACACTGAGCAGATGTCATGTAGTAAAAATGGGTGCCAGATGCTGTGAGCCGCAGAAGGGCGATTTGTTTAAGAGCTGGCTCCGACTTTTTTGCATTCAATTACTTTGCAGAACAAACCTTACACAAGCATTTAGGTAACTCGGCTAACTTCAGACAAGCGTTTTAATAATAGATTTCATCTCTGGATGCATTCTAAGCAATGTACCATATAAAAGGTGTTTAAGGAATTAATTGATTTCTGCATAATACCTTTATTTTTAACATGAAGAGAGAGCTGCAAAGCTCTTGGCAGGGACCCAGAAATGTAATTAACGTGGAGGGCCAAATTCTCAGTTGCCCTTAGGTACTGCCGCCTCATGCTTACGGCAGGTGCAGTGAGAGAGGGCAGAGAGGAAGAGAATGGGGGTAGAAGGGAGGAGGAAGAGGCAGCTTTGAGTCACTAAATATGAAAAAAATGCTAAGAGTTCAGTGAGTTTTCTGTTCTCATTTCAGGTCCCAAGCACATCCTGATCGGGGCGCAGGTGACAGGGGCTACCTCTTCAACCTCTTCCACTACCTCCTCCTCTGCAGATGAAGAGTTTGATCCCCAGCCTTCCTTGCGGTCAAAGGTAACAACACTTGGCAAACCAAAGGGGGCCTTGGCTTGTGGGGCTGTTTACCATCCAGATTTCAAACCCAATGTGGGCTCCAGCTGTGGTGGTTTCATTAGGAGGATCGCATTTCATTGCATCTGACAGCAACTGCTTTTATTTTTACCTGGAAGACCCCAAGAATTATCTTTTTTGTTGTTTTTAATTTTTATAAGCTTGCCTCTCTCAGAGATGTAAATTTGAGGAGGGGAAAAAAACCGACATATTAACTTGAAACCATTTGGCGACTGCAGCTCTTAAAGTGGATTTAATTTGTGGTCCAACAAGCAAACTATTGAAAAAATTACAACAAGCAGATGCATATTTCCCTAGGGGAAGCACAGCTTCATTTAAGAAGCACTTGAGGCAGATTGCATGGAAAATGTTATGTTTATTCTAATCAGAAATATTAAATGAACCATGCAGTTGCATGTAGACATGAATACTCCAAGGATCCCTGCTGTGGAAGGGACTAGCTGTGTGCTGACTGGGGAGATGGCAGTGCTCCTCCTTACTTAATGAACATTAATATTTCTGGAGAACACTTTAAGCAACTCTCATTCCCATAGATTAAAAAAATACAAACATTGTCATATGTATTTAAATGTATCTGTATGTCACATATACAGAGACACTGGGGCTGAAGCAGTGTCACTAGGGTTGAGGGGGCTGAATGGCTGGACTAAAAATGATTCCTGGGTAGACAGAGGCACAGTTCACTGCTCTGGCTTTGTTTATTTTTTGGAGCAGTGAGGATCTGAGGAGAAAGGGATAGAACCAAATTTATTTACTTAGACTCAACTTTTCCATATCTGGCACTAGTTGCTTTGGCATCATCTCAAGTCACTCCGGGGTTTCAGCTCCCCATGGCCCAGACTGGAGCATGTTAGGAGGGGGCTGAGGCATGGCATGGGTGTGTGTGTGTGTGTGTGTGTGTGTGTGTGTGTGTAAGATAGAGCGAACAAGAGAGAGAGAGAATGAGAGAGTATGTGTGGACTCCCAATTTTCTAAAATAAGTCTAATTTGATGGATAAATAAGATGATACATGTGAACCAATCTCTGATGGTTTCGTTACTCAGAACAAATGAATTCTGTGTTCTGTTGATTTCTGGGGTTTCCTTACTGTCCCTCTCATCCATTTGAGTGACCCTGAGTTATTTCTGTATTCAAATAAGGTAAAGGTCCCGGCGTCAGCCATCCTGACACTCATGTAGAATAAAAGAATGGAGTGGCCCAAACACGTTGAAATAGCAAAACCATGATATCTTGGAAATAGCCCCTTATTCCCTGCTTGCCCAGAACAGAGCCAGGCACCACTTCAGCTTGCAGCAAGGTAAAGCTTACCTGCTTCACCTGGCTTCTGATGTGGCCCACTCTTACAGGAAGGAAAGCTGGCTGAAGGGTTTCTTCTTTACGACTTTTCAAGGGCTCACACTGAAGGAACGAAGATAGTTTTTCCCTTCTAGTTTACTTATCTCTTCAGTCTCACACAGGTGTGTCCCCAGACATGTGGCACAGAGCCCATGTCAGCTCAAATGAACCTTTCCACAGGAAACTAGAGACAGGATATCCACACTCCACCTCTTCCCTTTGCTTTGCCCCTCCCCATCCGCTGCCTCTGCTCCCAAACCAGTGCCCGGATCTGAGAGACGAGGGCAGGCAGCATTCCCGGTCCCGCCAAATTGCTCCTTTCTCTGTCCTTTATCTTTTTCTTCTTTAGCCCTTAGTCTTTCTTCTTCTCTCTGCATCATCATCACCATCACTGAGGATATAGGACCTGTGCCTGGTACATCGTAAGGCTATAAGAGTATTAATAAATCATCCTTCATTTCTATGTCAACATCTTTTAATAAAATGTCATAAAGGACTTTCTTACCTCCTCTTGGTTCTGTTTTGCCGACCCTTGAGAAAGCAGTTGAGATTTGGCAGCTTTGCTGCTGGGAAGTGCTAAGACCATGAGATGCTGTTAAAACAGCCTCCCTTGAAATTGTATTAAATGGTCTTAATTTAAGGGAAACTTTGCAATTTCTGTAAAGCAGAGGTCTTTGATGTGCCTTCACAGTATTTGGCACAGGAAAGGTGAAATAGAAGAGACGAAAATGTGAATGCTAGATTCGGGTTACCTGGGGTTACCTCCTGCATCTACTAATTACTACTTGTGTCATCTTAGGCAAGTTATTTAACTCCCTGAGTTTTGAGTTCCTTATCTGTAAAATAAGTCTAATTTAAGGGATAAATAAGATGTGAAGTAATCAGTACAGTGTCTGGCACATAGTATTCAATAAATACTGGGATTATGTAAAATTAGTATATCATAAACTGAAGAGCTTTTTGCTAAATAAATGAACTGACTCTTCATAGATCGAGTTAGACAATCTCTGGATAACAAACTACCAGTGATCTCCACCATACCCTCCCCGCTGGCTTTTCAGAAAGGTCCTGGATGCCTAATAGAGGGGTTCCCCCTCCCAAATGGCCTGGAACCTCTGTTCAGATTGATAGTCAATCTGGAAGTCATCCCCTAGAAATAGAGACGATATTATATGGAATAAGTTTGAGTTCTGAGAGCCAAAATTTCCTTCCAAGGATGAAGAAAAGGATGAATTCTTTGGGATTCCAGATCCTAAGAAGAATTCTGGAAAAAACAAGTTTCATCATTGAGATACCTGTTTTCACTGGTGACCTGTAGACATCATGAACTCTGAAAGCTGGTGCTTTCCTAAGGAGAGGGATGGTCTCTCCATGGAATGGGTGACAGAGTGACAAGGATCCATGAAGCTGTGGAAAGGCACATGCTTTTAAGGCACAATCTCTAACCTCTGCCATGGACCCAGATTCCTCTGGCAATATCTGGGGCCAGGCTAGTTAGGTCTATTTCCCACTTGTGGATCCGTGGTACTTTTAATGTACAAATATTCAGTTCACCCACACTTATTGAATACCCAGGCACCAGCCTAGTTGTAGCAAATTTTTAATTCCACATTTGTTTCTGCCAGCATTAAAAATGAATCTCTAGCATGCTCTAATCTTTATTCTAATGTAGAAAATCCTTAATCTAATGTGTATGCTCAGAGAAGGCAAACTCACAAAAAAAAAACCTGCCCAATTTTAACATTTATTTTGTATGTACAGAATGTATAAATATGTATATACTCCTACACACATACACACATGTAATAGACATAAGTTTTCTTCTCTTGGTTTTTATAGGAGAGGAAGACGCTTAGAAGAAGACGGAAGCTGGAAAAAGCAACAAAACGATTGGTTAAACAAGAAGAATTAAAAAGACTTCATAAAGCTCAGGTAAGAAAACAAACTTGAGATGAGTGAGTGGGTCTGAGATCCTGGGAGTCTGGATCTGAAAGCCCTTTGGAAGTCTATATTGCACTGGGAGAGGCAAGCTAGAGAGAGGTCAATTTCTCTTCTCTGAGTGACCACGTTCGTGGCCACTCTAAAGGCCCTAGCTCAATCCCTGGTGGGATTCTGGGGCCTGGAGAGCCCAGGTGTGGAGCTGGCCCACGCCCAGCTACCCTTCCATCTGCAGGCATGTCTCTTGCAAAGTGAGCCTGAAATGGCAGCCGACACATAGCCTTGGAAACCGCCCCAGGCTTTGAGTGCCACATAGCAGTGGCCTGACTTC